ATATGGGGACGGCAGCAAGGCTGTATATATATATATATATATATATATATATATATATATATATATATATATATATATATATATATATATATATGACGTTCCACTGTGCCCAGCACCTGACACTCAGCTTGGGGATATATGGGGATATATGGGGACGGCAGCAAGGTTGTACATATATATATATATATATATATATATATATATATATATATATATATATATATATATATATATAGATAGACAGATAGATAGATAGATAGATATATAGCATGTAATGTCACACGCAAGGAGTAAAATGCGATGTGACCGAGAAACGTCCTACAAATTTAGTGGACCATGTGAGGTCATTAAGGTGCTGCGACCAGATGCTGCGATCCGACGTGAACGAAAGGAGATATTCGTTCATGGCAGCAATCTGAAACGGTTCGCCTCTAGATCACCTGTACCGGACGACGGGGTCCCGGCTAACCACAGTTACAGGTACTCCCACTGTCGCGGACGTTCGTAAAGACGTTGCTGCGTGGGCGTCGTGCAGCGCGTGTCGGACCTGTTCGATGAGTATGTTGCAAATGGTGGTGAAGTCAGTGTTGGAGACAGAGACAGTGTTGGTGTATCCTCTGCGTGAGATCAGTCCGCTGACTCTGGTGTCGATGTGAATGAAGCAGAAGTCGCGTAGGTTTGTGGCGTTGTGGCGCAAAGCTTTTTTGCAGAGAACGCCGAGGACCAGCGCGTGGCCTCTAGCGACATCTATGCGCAGCAAGGGGAACCTTGAGTTGCTCTCGTCACTTCAGCAAGTGCCCTCCTGGCCAACTCAAGGCCCCTTGTTGACAAAATACGCCCTGTTAGGCACTGTGGGCCGCTAACCGACACGGCGGCCCCGCATTGCCACAGCGCCCCGAGCAGTGCAAACCGCGGCCTCCGGTCTTGTCCCTGTTTGGGGAATGGGGCTCTCGATCTCAGACCGACGCGACGCCGACTGTCGGTGTTGGTGATCTCTGGCCGAAATTGAACAACGCACTGTCTCAGGGGTCCCTGATCGGTGCAAGAGGCCCTCTGACCGAAATTTGAGATCACGGACCTACGAGCGAGGGTCCTTAATGTAGCCCACAGCCGACACTGGGCCCTCCAGGCTTCCAATTGTCCGTTATTCTTTGGTCTCGAGAGACCCTTTGGGCCCTCTTCGGGCCTTCTAAAGCACGGCCCCTGGCGACTCGGGGCCACTTGCCGGCACAGGACCTTGTAAGGCACTGTGAGCCCCTGACCGACACCGTCGTTGTTTCGGGGACCGCGACTAATGCAAATCGCGAGTCTAGCTTCGCTCGCGCTTGGGAAATGGACCCCCAGAGTTCAGGCGGCTACGGCGCCGACTGTTCGGTGCTGGTAGTCTCTCACCAAAATAGAGGCCCACACTCCTCTAGATGTTCCCAATCGGTGCGAGAGGCCCTCTGATTGACATTTGAGGCCACAGCCTTACGGGCCGGGCGTCCTTACTGTGGTCAACGGCCAGTCCTTCGGTGCTTCCGTCTTCAAACCGAACCCTTGATCTTTGGTTACGAGGGCCCTTTGGTCCATCTTTGGGCAACAAGGCCACTATACCAAGGCTCGCGAACGGCTCATTGCCTATTGCCGACAAGTGACCCACTGTTTAACACTGTCCGGCTCTGACCTACACACAGACGCGGATCCAGAGGGGGGGGGGGGGGGCATGAGTTTATGCCCCCCCCCTTTGGGCCCTGCCGATGGGGCCCATGGGCTCTGTGGGGACCTATAGCCGGGTGAACAGAGGCAGTTTTTTTTACACAGAACGCGACATCATTGGACGTGTTTGAGCTTGCAGGTGACCGATGACAGTTGCAAGCGAGAGTGAGGGGCCTACGAGAGGACAACAATTATTTTTCAGTGATTGAGAAGGTGGTGATTGGGAGGTCTTAAGACTGCTTACGCTGTCCAGAGGCCCTACACTGCTTCCGGAGCTCTATTTGTCCATTTGCGGGTTCAGCCTGATCGTTGAGGAACCTTTTTACGTTGGCCTTGATTTCCTTGCATTTGCTCTGAGGGCTCTGCGCTGTTGCTGGAGCCCTTCCTGCCAGCGTGCCGGGGCACTCTGTTAATCAGGACCTTCCACGAATTCTTTCAATTTGACCGACACGTTCTATACGCTAGAGCCGGGGGTAGAGCTCATAGTAGTAGGTAGGGTAGAGCTCATAGGTTGACATGCCGGGGTATTCTTGTTTGCTCAGGGGCTCTTCACGTTGGTCACATGTAACCTACCGACACACTCACGATATACATAGGGCCCACAACATTGATCCAGGGCCCTTCCGATTTTTTGTCACTTGCTCAGGGCCCTGCACTTTTGTTTGGGGCCCATCCGTTGACCTACTTGGGCTCACTCGGTCGTTTGGGGCCGTCCGAATTGGGCCTTGGGTGCTTCCTATTGAAATGGAGGGCCCTATGCACTTGTCGAGGCCCCTATCTGCTAACCTGCCCGGGTGCACTGGATTGTTTGGGAGCCCCGCACATTGGGCTTTGGTATTTAAATGTAGGGCCCTACGCTCCTGTCGAGGCCATCTGATAGCCGGTTTGAGTACACTCGATCTTTCGGGGCCCACCACGCTGGTTTTGGAGTATTTCTCATTTGAATGAAGACCCCTACGCTCTTGTCGGGGCTTCATTTGATAACCTGCTCGGACACACCCGGTCGTTCGGAGGGCGCTCCATTGGGTCTTGGGTACTTTCTATTCGGATGGAGGGCCCTTCGCTCTTATCGGGGGCCCTATATGTTAGCCTGCTCGGGCACACTCGTTTAGTCGGGGGCCCTGTACATTGGGTCTTGGGTGCTTCCTGTTTTGAATGGATGGCCCTACGCCCTTGTCAGGGGTCTTATCTTTTAACCTGGTCTGGCCCATTTAGGCGCCCGTTTAATCGTTTATGTTCTCTCTACACTGTGTCGTGGCTCTTTGTTATTTGAATGGAGGGCCCTGTGCTCTTGTCGGGGGCCCTATCTGTTACCCTGCTCGGGCACACTCGAACGCTCAGGGACCCTCCACATTGGGGGTGCCGGTAGTGTGGTGGTCAGCGTGTCTGCGTTAACCACTGCGCGTCTGGGAAACCAGAGGTACGGGGTTCGATTCCCCGCGGTGCCCGCCCTTCCTGCCAGGGTGAGAGGCAGGCGACGCCATATAGCCTCAGCAGCTGAGTGCGTCGTAGAGCCCCAATGACACACACGACCCTCCACATTGGCGTCTTGAGTACTTTCTATTTGAATGGAGGCCCTACGCACTTGTTGGGGGCCATCTGTTCAACTCATCGGGCACACTAGATTGTTTCAGGGCCCTGCACCTTGGGTCTTGATATTTGAATGTGGGGCCCTATGCCCCTGTCACGGGCCATCTGACAGCCTGCAAGGGTACACTCGATCGTTCGGGGGCCCCTCACACTGGGTCTTGGACACTACTGGTTTGAATGGAGGGCCCTACTCTCTTGTCGGGGCCAATTTCGATAATCCGCTTTAGCACACTTGATCGTTCGGGCTCATCCAAATTGGGTCTTGAGTACTTCCTATTTGAATTGAGCACCCCACGCTTTTGTCGGGGCCATATCTGTTAACCTGCTCGGGTGCGCTGGATCGTTTGGGGCTCTCTCCATTATGTCGTCGGCCTTTGTTATTTGAATGGAGCGTCCTACGCTCTCGTCAGGAGCCTTCGTCCGTTAACCAACTCGAGCACAGTCGATCATTCCTGGGCCCTCCAAATTGTGTGCTGGATATTTCTTATTTGGATGGACGGCCCTATATCCTTGTTGGAGCTCCATCCATCAAAACGATCGGGCCAATCGGGACCCGGAATGGGGGGAACGCCGAACTGTGCTCGTCCCTTGTGCCCGTTGGGGACCCACAGGCTCTGAAGGGGCTTATGACGAGGCGAACGGACGCAGCTTTCAAACACAAAAGACAGCAAAATTGGACATCGTTGGGCCTTCAGACGACCAAGAGTAGTCACAAGCGAAAGTGAAGCCCGTGAGCTTCGTGAGCCAAAATTAAGCTCGTGCTTGGGTTTAATGCTATTTAGCAGCCAACTTGACAGTTTATCTTTTCATTTTTTCCCAAAAAACTTAACCTCAAAATGACAGGAAAAACCTAGCCTCAGAATCCATGGTCTGCAGAAAAGGAATAACTTGCAAGCATGGGCTTACGTAGCGCGCTTAGTTTTCTAGGAATGCACAAAGTAAGATGGGTTTCCGTATGAAAAAAACATGCTAAGAATCTCAATATTTGATGGCCGGCCTTCGATAATTTTTATTTCTCGGGGAGGGGGGGGGAGGCTAAACTCCGTGGGGGCCCCACGATATTGAGTACCCCCCCCCCCCCCCCTTTGATGAAGTCCTGGATCCGCTCCGGCCTACATAGGGACCCCTGATTGTTTCAGGAAACCAGACCAATGCAAATCGCGGGTCGGCCTTGTTCCTGCTTGGGAAATGGGCCAACAGGCTTCAGCTTCGGATCGACAGGGGGCCAGGTATTCGGTGTTGGTGGTCTCTATTCCGCATAGAAACCCGCATTGTCTCAGGAGGTCCTCAATCAGTGCGGGGGTCCCCCTGACTGTTATTCTAGGTCACGAACCTACGGGCCGGATTCCTTTAATTGACCTAAAGCCAGCCCTTCGGGTCCCTACGCACTCCAGTCGGGCCCTTGGTCGTCGATTCCAGCGGGCTCCCCGTCCCCTTTCGGGCCTCCTCGAACACTGCCTCTGGCGGACTGTGGGCCCCTTGCCAGCACAGGGGCCCCTGTTAGGCACTGTGGGCCTCCGAAACAAACTAAACTCCGGCCGGCCGTTCGGGCCCCTCCGCCCTAAAATTGACCCTTGGTTGTCACTAGCGACCTGGACTAGCATTGGCTATTTCTGGTAAGTATAGCCAAGAATTGCGCCTAGACTGGACCGGGGATGGGATATGGCAGCAATTGTAACAACGCTCTCTCCGTCATTTTGTTTCACTGTGTGTCGAAGACGTCTGTGGCGCGGGACGTGTGCTCTCGCACCCTTCGCCCACCTATAATTGTGCTAAAAACACAAAAAAATCAGAAAAGATAAAAGCCCCAAAATATTATTGTGGCGTAGTTCCGAACGCTAGGTGTGCAACATGAATTCTGCCGGGCCTAACTATCCCATGGCGTCTTTGTACGTCGGGGATCTCCATGCCGATGTCACGGAGGCCATGCTGTTTGAGAAGTTCTCAACTGCTGGCCCCGTTCTCTCCATCCGAGTCTGCCGAGACATGATAACCCGCCGTTCTTTGGGTTATGCTTATGTGAACTTCCAGCAATCAGCAGATGGTGAGTGCCTTTTTACAATGTGTTTGGTTAATGTTCGCTTCAAGAATAATGTGAGCTGTCAAACTTGTGATTTGCTATTGAAGTGTGCTATTGGCGCTTGCTTTTCTGCATTATCCGGCTTCGGCCATGCTTGTTCTGCTTAGGATTTTCAGCAACTATCCCAATTACTATGTACACCATTTGTGACGTTAATTAGACTCATTGCGTCACACCATATGGTTTCTTGTACAATTGCATAATGGATGTAACAGTTGTGAGCAGGGAATATTTTTACAAGCAATTTAAGTGTGGCATAAGGTTTCACATATCCTGCCTGTGTTCCCACTAATCAAACATTTTAGAAAGCAGAAAGTGGTAGCAATTTATTCCAGCAACTTAAAATGGCAGCAATGTTCAAATGGACTGACAAACATGCACACATTTGGATTTATTTGGGTTTTTCATCAGAAGATGCCAATCCTGTATTTGTATTAGACCAGGCTGCAAAAATGCATCTGAATGTGTCCAAGCTAGCAGTGACATCTGCAGTGCCAATTTCAGGCAAAAATACTCAAACCTTTTTCATGCTAAAATATGTCCCTTGTGCTCCCTATGCTCCTTAAAATAAGGGTTCCCCTGTATTAACTGTTGATCAGCACCATGAACATCTGTTTCATAAGATAACTGATTGCCATACAGGCACAAGCATCCATGTAGCTGGATAAAAATGATTTCAAGATATGTGGATCAAGACTGTTACTTAAATTTCTTTGGGTTTTATGGGCCCACTAAAATTTGCACCTAACTTTATGAATTAGTGTGGGCATTAGTGGATACAGTGGAAACACAGGCTTGCATTGCTCCACCAAACCATAACTTGTCTCCTTCATCCTGTAACTGCCACCAGTCCAGCCATATCACAACCTAGTACAACTAACCTTATATTATGCTTGATGACACTGCCCCCACTTTCAATCCTTTTTGTGGCTGAAATGATGATAAATATTTATGGACCTGTCTTGCTTCTTTGTCATGGAATGGCAAGACTGGATGCCAGCACAGCTGGACCACACAACCTAATCTGTATGGCAGAGAAGTGGCATACCTTTCAGTGAATGGTTCATGTTTGGACTGTTGTTATAAGCAGAAAGCATGCTCTGTGTACAAGATGGCTAGTCTGCAAGGCATGAAAATTGCAGTGTAAGAACCATAGTGCATATACAGTACTAAGTGATCTTTTGCATGTACTATTTTCATATTTTTTAGTTTGCATTACTTTTCTGAGACCAAAAGGAATGCCTTAATGGTTTCCAGTTGCTGGTGTAGAAAGGCTAGACCCCTTGTTCCTCACAGACAAAGCTTGACATACAGTTCTGACTGGAAGTTGAACTCCATGTTGCTGCATTTCCTTGTCACAGGTTGCCTTGTGTCACACTTTTTAGCAATAGCTGCTTAAGTTTCCAGGCAATGTCTTGTACCAGCAATTTTTTATACATTTGTTTCACTGGAACTGAATTTTTTTGCCAATGATAGAATTCTGTGTGGAATCTGCCACCACCACAGCCATGATGCGACCGATCAACCACTTGACACCAACCTCCGTTGGCCAAATAGTCTTGGAAGGATCTGTCTGTCATGTCATACAGTGCCATGGCTCACGGCCGTTCGTGGTAAAGCTTTTCCCTCCGCGGCGGGGAATTATGACGCTCTAGGTGGGAATCCAAGCCACGTGGCGACGTATCGCGATCGGGCTGCGTCTGCCTCTCGCTTCTAAATGGGGCCGGTGTGCTAACCGCCGAACCATCGAGGCGGATCCGCTCGTTTCGCTCCGGCGCGCCCGTTTTGGCGCGGCTGGTGCAACGCGCCTGGCGTCCTGCGCGGAGAACACACGGCTGCTGGATTCTACGGGACTCCGTTCCCGCGCCAGCGTTTGGAGATTGGCGGTCAGATGCAGCTGACAGATAGCTGACCGCTAGGGCGAACATTTGGAGACTAGGTCAACCGATATCCGTTCGACCGTGTCGTCGCCGAGATATCTCGCCTTTCGAAAGCGGCCAGCGACAGTTTCGTAAGTCCTGCGAACGCCCTTAACTGGCGGTTCTCGGTGCGCGTCAGCAGCGTGCGCAGCATTGGGTCAACACCGCCCGTGGTTGCGCAGCGCCCGTCAGCTGTATCAATGTTGTTTACGCTGTACAGCTGCTGCACATGTGGGTGTCCTCAGGCGCCATGTCGTGGGGTACGCGATGGAGCTAAACATTTCGTCTTGTTTCGGTGCGCGAATGTTCGGGAAGATAATTATGAATATTTTGCTCAAGTAGTCGGAGTTCGCCAGAATACGGATTGGGCAGTTGATGAACTTGCTTGTTATGTATTGAGAGGAATACTAGGCGTTGCTATTTTGTACTATGTTATGTTAAATGAAGAGGCTTTACCCATATTCAGGTCGGGCATGCTAACCCAAAGTCGTTTTGGAAGATAACAAAAATTTCGTGCTGTCGCCACAAGTGCAGATGAAAAATGCTAAAGAACAGCAGTGAATTCTTATTCTGGTATATCTTGGAAAAGGGTTGCTTTTTGTCTGCAAGACCACGGCCCAAAACCACCTGCCGATCTTGAAGCTGAAAGATCTGCGTATATCCGTTTTCAGCATTGGCCCTTTGGGAATTGGGCGATACGTCATTAATTAAACGGCATTGACGGTGCAGACTGCCCTGGATTTCGAACCCGGTGTCAAACGGCGAGTGCTCGCATCACATCCACCCAGCCATAGAGACGTCAAAGCAAGCTGTCGATTCGGCCCACCTTATGCGTGGTGCATTTTTGTGATATTTGGATGCGTGTCGGAAATTTTTCAAATGTTTCGAGTCCCGATTTCAGCCGTTCAATACTCGCCGGATGCAGATATTCGTTCAAATATTCTGTATCCGAGCGCCCAGCTTTAGCGTGCATTCCGCACCTTGCCACGCGGTAAGTGGTGCTGCCCCACCCGAGTTGTTCCAGTCCGAGCGAGGGAACTGGGCCGAAGGGGGGGGGGGGGGAGGGAGGTGGACACGACAGCGGGTGTCGCCTGCGCCGCGCCGCGTGCCCTCAGGGTGTCACTTTCTCCCGGCGGCCGGGTGCTGGGCCTTTCCAGCCGGCGGGCCGGCTGACCCGGTCTGCTGGGGCCGGCCCGGAGGAGGCACGCGACCGGCGGGAACCTCACTGCGGTTGGTAAGAGCGGGATCCGGCAGCGACAGCGCGACGTCCGGGACGGTATATCCAGGATAATCGGGACGAACTTTGGCGGGCTGTTTTTAATTTCACTTCGTCGCTGCGTTGTGGTTGCGCGGTGCGCTGCGCTCTTCATCGGTGTATTGGTTTACTGAGTCCAGTCGTCATTGGCAGTCATTTATTGCTTTCGTTCGAAATTCATTCACATTTTGTTGGACGCTGTCGTTTGTGGAGCGCTTTGCTGGATAAGACTGACCAAGCTCTTGCAAATGTTGCTGACTTCTGTTGAGATGCATGGGCGCAGAATGACCACTGCAGTCGACGCGCCCGAAAACACCAATAAGCAACAAAAATCTGTTGAGATGGAATGACGTGGAGAACCAGTTCCAAGCCGTAACTTGACTGAGAGTGCAGATATTTCTGCCGACGGCGCCGATGTTGCAAGCTGTCGTTGGTATGTGTCATGGTTGTTTGTGCTTCGGATCTTTCGTTCTCTTTCCGAGGTGGCGTGGCGCCTCTCCGAGAAAGTTTGAGAAGTCCGAGGCAGGCATGGCGACAAACCCAGCTTCTGCTCCAGCCTCGGCTTCACGAAGCGACCTTGTCCCGCTTATGTTCTCTGATTCGACTTGAACTATCGGCTGCGACTTCGACTTTGGCTTCGTGACGTTGTAACACCTGGCTTCGTCATCGTCTTCGCACAAGTTGTGAATTATGGCTCCGCAAAGCCGTGACGATGTTTCTTGATTTCATACAGTATTGGCAGACGTGAAAATGGTTGGCTGCACAACGCGCTGTAAACTAAATTCAGCCTTGGTTTGGGTTGCACGATTCTGAATCAGTCGAAGCTTGACTTTTTTTCGTGTTTCCCTATTACAAGGTCACTGGCTTATGCTGCGCTCATGCAGAGTTCAACACCGCTGGCTTCGAATCCGGCTTCACGTTTTAGGAATGCAAAGGCGGTTGCATTGGTTTTGCAGTTGCAAACTTCGAGGCCGCCGGCTTCGATTTAGACCACTACGTCACGTCTTTGTTTTGGCTTTGGCTCCGGCTTTGGCCGCGGAGCTTTGAAGCCTGGAGCCTGGCTTGGTCCCGGTGCCTGATTTGAAGTCAGTATACAGCTGAGTTCTGTGGCTGGGATGCCGCCAGCTGAAATCTAACCGAGCGCTCTCTTTCAGCCGAGCGTGCTCTGGACACGATGAACTTCGACGTGGTGAAGGGCCGGCCGATCCGCATCATGTGGTCGCAGCGGGACCCGTCGCTGCGCCGCTCCGGCGTCGGCAACATCTTCATCAAATCACTGGATAAGTCCATCGACAACAAGGCCATGTACGACACGTTCTCGGCCTTCGGCAACATCATGAGCTGCCGCGTGGCCACCGACGAGAACGGCGTGTCCAAGGGCTACGGCTTCGTGCACTTCGAGACCGAGAAGGCGGCCACGGACGCTATCGAGAAGGTGAACGGCATGCTGCTGAATGACAAGAAGGTGTTCGTCGGCAAGTTTGTTCCGCGCAAGGAGCGCGAGAAGGAGCTGGGAGAGAAGGCCAAGCGCTTCACCAACGTCTTCGTCAAGAACTTCGGCGACGAGCTCGACGACGAGAAGCTGCTGGAGCTGTTCCAGCCGTTCGGCACCATCTCCAGCCACAAGGTGGCCGCCGGAGAGGACGGCAAGGCGAAGGGTGAGCTGCGGCGGGTCGGGAGCTGGTGCAGTGGTCACGGATGAGGGTGGGGTGGGCAGGAGCTGGTGTGAGCTGCGGCGGGACGGGAGCTGGTGCAGTGGTCACGGCTGTGGGTGGGGTGGGCGGGAGCTGGTGTGAGCTGCGGCGGGGCGGCAGTTGGTGCAGTGGACACAGCTGAGGGTGGGGTGAGCGGAAGCTGGTGCGGTGGTCACGGCTGAGGGTGGGGTGGGCGGGAGCTGGTGTGAGCTGCGGCGGGGCGGCAGCTGGTGCAGTGGTCACGGCTGGGGGTGGGGTGGGCGGGAGCTGGTGTGAGCTGCGGCGGGGCGGGAGCTGGCGCACTGGTCACGGCTGAGGGTGGGGTGGGCGGGAGCTGGTGTGAGCTGCGGCGGGGCGGGAGCTGGTGCAATGGTCATGGCTGAGGGTGGGGTGGGCGGGAGCTGGTGTGAGCTGCGGCGGGGCGGGAGCTGGTGTAATGGACAAAGCTGAGGGCGGGATGGGCCAGAGCTGGTGCAGTAGTCACGGCTGGAGGTGAGGTGAGTGGGAACTGGTGCATTGGTCACGGCTAAGGGTATGGTGGGTTGGGCTGTCAGGCTTGGGGACTGAGTGGACTGAATTATGTTTAGGAACACAGCTAGTGATTGACTAGTGGTCGTGGTCATAGACTGGCTTCCGTAGGCTGGCTGGAGAACACGGTCACCATTATGGCACAATGTCAACTGTCTTATGTCAAAAGCCGGTTGTGGTTGGCGACAAATTTTGAGGGGAGGTCCAGACTCAAGCGCAATTTCGAAGACGACCGATCATTCCTTTATTATTTCACAGCAATGTAATAATCGCAAGCGGCGGATGGTCGAACGCCTCCTCATTGGAGCAGCGACGCTCCCAGCTCGGTGTCTGTGCTCGGTGTCGTGATTATTTAGCGAGCGTCTCATTTGGGAACACCAACTCAACGTCAACCGCGAGGGGAACAGCTAGCGGAATTCTCAATAAGCTAGCTAAGGCTCAATGAGCTAGGGCGCAAATTCTCAATGCAGCACAAGCATGCTGCTTGTCCGGGGCTCAGGGAGATAACAGAGGGGTGCCTGTGATTGCCTGGCCCGACCCTCTCCCCTTACAGCTGGCCTCTCAGCCCTGTGAAAGGTTGCGCACGAAGTGAGGTCGGCGCTGGGACATTGCCTCACCGATCACAAGTGTGGGCTGGGGCTTGTCCCGCACTCAGTTCGCATCGCGCCCGCCAGAGGCGCTGCTATCGGTCTTGTAAGGAGGAGGGTCGTCGTCGAACAAGACGTCAGGCGACGGATGGGGCGTCATGATGTGACTACGTCTATGGCCTCATGGAAATGCCTGGCCCATCTCCGAAACGAAATCATTCATTTCCGGAGACGTAGCAGGGGGCTTGACCTGAGGGTGGAGGGGGGGGGGGGGGGGAGGGCTGGGGGCTGATGAGCCCCTGGATAGATGATTCCGGACTCGTCCATGTGGCATTTACCTTAGAGCGGTCGCGATGGCTTTGAGCCATCGTTATGAACGAGAGTTTGTCACGGCTGGGAACCTTCCTGCGCTACTCTGTCGCATGCTCCAGTACGTGGTGAAATAACTGTTATATTATCGCCTTCCTGGCTTATGTCGTCACATGTTTCCGTTAAGTGTTTGATGTGTCATGGCTGTCAGGTGACAGATGCAGCTCAGAGTGGTGTCGGTCCATGGTGCGTGCCTGCCTGCCTGCTTGTCTTTCGGTCGGCCGGTCGCCAGCTTGGCCGTAGCCCCGCCTTTCACCACTGTCCGGTCTGGCAGGCTTCGGCTTCGTCAGCTTCGAGGACCCGGAGGCGGCCGAGGCGGCTGTCAACGACATGAACGGGAAGGAAATCAACGGAAAGACCATCTACGTCGGTCGCGCTCAGAAGAAGGCCGAGCGCCAGCACGAGCTGAAGCGCAAGTTCGAGCAGATCAAGCTGGAGCGCATGAACCGCTACCAGGGCGTCAACCTCTACGTCAAGAACCTGGACGACGGCATCGACGACGAGCGCCTGCGTCGCGAGTTCGCCCAGTTCGGCACCATCACCAGCGCCAGGGTGGGTGGCCGGCGACCGAGTTGGATCAGGCTAAGCCAGGCTAGCCCGGGCCGTGCCGTGCCGTGCCGTGCCGTGCCGTGCCGTGCCGTGCCGTGCCGTGCCGTGCCGTGCCGTGCCGTGCCGTGCCGTGCCGTGCCGTGCTGTTCCGTGCTGTTCCGTGCCGTGCCGGGTTGGGTTGGGTTGGGTTGGGTTGGGTTGGGCCGGGGCTCGGCTCGGCTCGGCTCGGCTCGGCTCGGCTCGGCTCGGCTCGGCTCGGCTCGGCTCGGCTGTGGAGGGGGGGGGGGGGGGGGGGGAGAGGAGAGGGGTCGTGGAGGGCCGTGGGAAGTGAGAGTGGGAGAACGGCATTGACCTTGACTCGAGAGAGTTGTATGTATGCCGAGGGTAAAACGGTGATGCTGTGGTGCTATGTGGTAGTTGCACGCCCACTGGCGTAATCCATGCGTCACTGGTGCTGATGTTAGCCGGCTGTCCTGTCAGAGGATGTCGTTGCCAAGGATTTGGGATGGGGGAATAAGCCGTCTCCCTGCCGAAAGACGGCTCATTCGAGACCAGTCTGCCCTCTCGATGATGGATGGTTGCGGTCGACCGTCCCCAGCTGATGCCGTGCAGTGGGCCGCAGCGCTGGGGTGGACCAGCCCGGTACGGGGCGACCCATGGCGAGCTGGCGCCTCAGCGCAACCCGTGGTGACGTCTGTCGCGGCCGGCAGGTGATGATGGAGGACGGCCGCAGCCGCGGCTTCGGCTTCGTCTGCTTCTCGTCGCCCGAGGAGGCCACAAAGGCCGTCACCGAAATGAACGGCCGCATCGTCTCCTCCAAGCCGCTGTACGTGGCGCTGGCGCAGCGCAAGGAGGACCGCAAGGCGCACCTGGCCAGCCAGTACATGCAGCGCATGACCAGCATGCGCATGCCGGGCGTGAACCCCATGTTCCAGCCGAGCGGCGGCGGCTACTTCGTGCCGACCATGCCGCAGGCGACGCAGCGGTTCTACCCGCCGGCGCAGATGGCGCACCAGATGCGGCCGGGACCGCGCTGGCAGCAGCCCGGCGGCCAGATGCGCCTGGGCGGCCAGGCGCAGCCGGGCATGGCGGCGCCGTTCCGGGCCCAGGCGCAGCGCCAGCCGGGCCAGGCGGCGGCCGCCGGCGCCATGCGCGGTCTGCAGGCGCAGGCGCGCCCCATGGCCGGCCAGCAGGCGCTCATGCCGGCCGGCATGCAGCCGCGTCCGATGGCGCCGCAGCCGGGTGCCGCGCCCCAGCCGCGCCCCAGCTACAAGTTCACGCCGAACATGCGCAACCCGATGCAGCAGCTGGCGGGCGGCGTGGTGGCGCAGCCGCCGCTGGCGCCGCAGCCGTTGGCGCAGGCGGCCGTGCGGGTGCAGGGCCAGGAGCCGCTGACGGCCAGCATGCTGGCGGCGGCGCCCGAGCAGGAGCAGAAGCAGATGCTGGGCGAGCGGCTCTTCCCCATGATCCAGGTGAGGCTGTCGCCCGGTACGCGCGGCCCGTTGACCCTGTCAGGGGGCTCGATGCTGGTGGCGGCCCGTGCAGCCGCTCAGCTGGGGCGGTCAGCGTTTGCAGATGTTTGCTGCTAGGCCATAGACTTGGTTAACGGGCTGCTGGCTGTAGTATGCGCGCACGTGAACTGTGTTGTTTCTTCCACCCGGTGCAAATGCCGCCGTAGTTCCTGCTCCGTCTTTCCGGATCTTCCAAGCATGAACAGCTAAGGCGACAGTTGAGACAGCCCTGCTTTCCCGCCGGCTGTGCGGCGGCTGTCTTGAGCGTGTGGTTCTCGCAAGCCCGGTCGTCGCCTGCTGACGGGGCGCGCCCTCCGTTGCAGCACATGTACCCGGAGCTGGCCGGCAAGATCACCGGCATGCTGCTGGAGATCGACAACTCGGAGCTGGTGCACATGCTGGAGCACCACGAGTCGCTCAAGGGCAAGGTGGACGAGGCGGTGGCCGTGCTGCAGGCGCACCAGGCCAAGCAGCCGGGCACCGCGCCGCAGCCGGCCGGCAAGAAGGAGTAGATGACCCCGGAACGCCCCGAACCGGCCGAGGCCCCCGCTCGACACCGGCGGCGAGCGTTCGGAACTAAGCCACGAACCCAGCCGGGCGACGGGGCAGGCGGCGACGGCGACGGCGGCGTGACTGGCGCCGCCGCCGCCACCGCCCGTCCCGCCGCTCCACCCATTCCACCGCCACAGTGGGCTTCGACACACACGGAACACGCACTTAGTGGTAGGCGAGACACATAAGCGAGACAAAAACAACAAAAAAAGCGAAAAACAGAAAGCTGCCCGGGAAGCGCGTGGGGCGGCCGGGGGCTGGCCTCGGCCTCCGGCCGTCCCGCCGCGCCCGGCGCTGTTTTATTCGTACCCGGCCGGCGGGCGCCGGGCCGGCCGGCAGAGGTCGGCTCGGCGGGCCGTCGGCAGCGCCACACGAGACCAGTGGCGCCACCTGTGCGGTCGCGTGGCCGCACGGCCGGCGACACCAGCACGGACAGCTCCACGGCTGTCCCCGAGGAAGAAAAGCAGAAAACGACTTTTTATAAAAAGATGTAAAGGTTCTCTGGTCTACAGAGACAAAAAGCTCCAATGATAAAAGTACTCGAAAACTTTCACCAATAAAAAAATAAACTTTTCGGAAAAAATCGAAACGGGAGCTATTACCTCTTTGTTTTGCACAAAATAATATTGGCATCAGGATCCAACGCCAGCCTATTTTTGTTTATTTTTTGTTTTGATGTTATTTTTGCTTCAAGCCCCATGCCCATATATATATATTTGTAATATGGATTCGCGTCGTAAGCCGCGTTCTTCTTAAATGGACTATGATGCGGACGTTGAATTTCGTTCCACACCTATGGTGGAGTCCAGTGCTGGTAAAAATTTGGTGCGTTTGGACTTTAGGACTTGGGCTGGTCGACTTTTGTGTATCATGGTTGTGTAATTTGACGATCATGTAGTGCTATTGCGGGCGCCCAATATGATAGGGTGCTGGTGGTGTAGGTTCTGGGCGAACGACCTGTCCCGTATCGTCTCATGTTTTACGGCTTCCCGTTTCGTGAATAAACTCTTCAACGAACATTGCCTTTCGTTCCTACCGTCCCCGCGAGCATTGACTCCTGTTCGGCCCGTATAGCTTTTCGCGAGCATTGACTCGTTCGGCTCGGGCGGGTGGTCGCAGTCAGCCAGGCGGCGCGGACAGGGTGGATGAACCGGTTGAAGCTTTGAACACTTGGTCAGACAAGATCCGCGTTTAACTAGCCTTGGAGTGTGTTTACCATTGCCTTGAAACATTGTGAAACATTGTAAAATTGTGCGTGGCACCTACAACACTGACACGGCACAGCGGCGTCCGTTCACAGCGGCTACTCGCTGTTTCATCCGCTGTCATCTGATAACCGGCGTTGCTCCACGACGTCGCAGGCGCTACGTTAAGGCCAGGGAGCTTGCGTGCGCCACGCAACCACAACCAGGGAGGGCGCGGGGGGGGGGGGACCGTCAACGGACGGTGTCAGCGGCTGGCCAAGGTCCTTGTTGGGTGCGCAGGTGTGGGTGTTGCGATTTTGAAGGTGGGCGGATAGAGGCGAGTTCGTTTCGTTTTAGCGAGCTTACGTGACCGAGTTTGCACGACTACCGCATCGCAGGTGGGTTCTCGCCTCCGGCTTGAGATAGATGGCGTTGCTTGCAAAAGGCCCTCCTGAAGACATCTTTTTCGTGCATTGTAATGCTGCATCTGGTTGGTGTCACGGTTTAACACCAATCCTTAAAATGACCTAAGAAGGAACACTGACTCCGAGCGAGTACATAGTTCAAAGTTTGGCGCTCCCCCAAGTGCGATATTGTTATTTCACGCGTGAGTGAAAATGCATGCACCACCTACCCATGTTATCCACGCACGAGCTATGCACGCGCTTCACAGATAAACGATGGATGCTGGTGGGCGGCGGTGGCGTAAATCCAGAACAATGTGTGATGAAGTGTGTCAACTGTGGTGTTATGTCCCGCCTTGGCCTACTTTCGTATATGCCACTCACGTTCCCAGCTGCACCGCGTGCTCCGGCGATAACCAGCTCACACAGCGTACAGGGACACTTGATCTTGTATTGTGTTGCTGAATTGGTGAGGTATGACGGCACGCGGTCGCTGCCACCACAAGGCCCCAAATTTAAGGATCGGGCCCAGGGGGTAATACCCCGGGCGGACCCAAGGGGCAGACATGTGTCTGGTTTCTAGCCTTTCTTCCAGGGAACCAGTACCTAGTTCCGGATTCAGGAACAACCCTTGAACCAGTTCAGAATCAAGCTGGAAGGCAACAGCAACCAGGATTCAGCCCGAATGGTGCTGAGGGAGTCCTCAAAAGGGAGGATTCCGTGTAGCGCTAGGCGGAGAGATCCGGCTAGAAACCAGATCCAGGTTGTAATGTGCACAACAATCCAGCAAGAATCAAAACCCAGTCTGAAATGTGGCCATAGGCGTGGCAGGAGCCCAGCTCCAGGCTGAATATGTACCAAGGATTCGGCAGGCACTAAGATCTTGTTCAAGCCAAGGGAACCAGTGAGAACCAGGATCCCATGTAGCCCATTTGAGCAGGATATGTTTTATTAAGTCGACATGCCCTCAATGGTATCCGCTCGCCAAAGGCAACCCGTTCTCGTCTTAAAAAGAATTGGCCAATGAGAAGTAGAGACCGATATCCAACATTTTATGAGTGAACCGACCGTAACCAGAAACCAGGGTTTGGTTTCTGTGAAGAAACAATCGAAACCAGGAACCAAGCTCTGGTCTGTGTCAAAGAGCCAGCGAAACCAGGGCATGGCGTTTGTGGAAAGGCAATTACATCCCGGAACCAGGGGCTGGTGTCAAGTGGTGTGTAATCAAGTGGTGGTAATAACCAGTTGTAGCCAGAATCCAAGGTCTTCTCTCCATGATGGGCGTGGAAGCCAGAAACCAATGTTGGGAACCAGGCCCATACCTACTGTGGGTTACTGTAGCCATGACTGTCGTACCCCGATGGTGGATGTTAAAAGCAACATGTTCTCTCTGGGTTTACTTCTGTGTCTTTTACACAGCTTCCCCATAATTTGGTGTGTTATAGGATATGATACGATACTGTACACGACACGATATTTGTTGTATATAGGATACGACACGATATACAGGACACACACACAGCACTTATATGACACGATATGATATCATATCGCAAGAGCATAGTCGTCAGTATAGGAAGGCTAGGTTTTCGGCTGCTTTAATCAAGAACATCTCAGTCCTCCTGAGCCAAACGGTTGCGATTGCAAACAAACGCGGAGTCCTGCACAGTGATAGGCAAAGCTACCCGAGGAAACGATTTGTGCGAGTTAACGATAGCGCAGACTTCATCAGCCGGGTCACGCCCTGCACGTGACATTGCATAGCACCGTACCGGCTGAAGCCACCTCGTATTCGGCGTGGGCCGTCGCGGCTGACTCGGCGCGCCTCCTCTCTACGCGCCGCCTGCGGCTCTCCATTAAGACCTCCGCGTCTTCCCCTCCCTCCTCCTCGGTCCCACCCATCCTGACCCATGCAGCGCCGGCGGCCACTCAGCGGCGGCCTATCTCTGCTATTCCCGGGCCTGGTGACGTCAGAGGCCGGTTGTTTGCCGGCCGGCGGGCCGTGTGACCCACTAACCCGGCGGCCGGCCGGGGCGGCCTTGACACACTGCACTTGGTGTTACTTTTTAAGCGGGTCGCGCGCCGCAGCGCCGAGAAAACGGTGAAAGTGACGCTGGGCGGGCGGCGCCAGACCGTTTTGTAATTCCGCCGGCCGGCCACTTTCGTTTTCGGTGGCCTAGCAACCGGCCAAGATGGCCGCCGTGCTCATGCGGGCGCGGCGACTGACTGCCCATGCGTCGGATGAGTTGTAAATGTCCTGTCTCTCAAGGCTGCTAGCTGCAGTTGGCCTGAATTCATGCGTTCTACGTATTTCGGTTGGGCGCCACCAACTAGGATCTGGGTATGGGAGTGCCATGAAATGTGTTTGAACTGAGTGAATGTTATAAAATGAAAATAATTCCAATTGTGTGGCTTCTAGAGCGAGACGAAAATTCTGATCTCTTACACCACCTGTCCAGCCATAACCACTGCCAAATAGCGGTAAAATTGCGCTATGACGGCTTGTGGCTTACTGTCGGTTGAAAATTTACTGGCATTAAGAGTGACAGGAAACTTGGTGCACGACAGTTGTACATGCTATTTAACTTAACACACACAAGCATGCAGACACATATAAACATATATACATATATATATATATGTGTGTATATATATATATATACATATATACATATGATTCAGACATGTACCTGGATCTGAAGGATGGATCCAAGATCTCATAGGATTCCATGCCTATGGGATCCTGGGGCCCTTGGCACATGTAGTTGTAGCTGGCATATATATATATATATATATATATATATATATATATATATATATATATATATATATATATGTGTGTGTGTGTGTGTGTGTGTGTGTGTGTGTGTGTGTGTGTGTGTGTGTGTGTGTGTGTGTGTGTATGCACACCATTAAGTTAATCATTTATGTACCGATCCTCTTATATGGTGGAGATAGCAATCGTGAACCTGATGTGCAGGCATTGTGCGCAAGGTTTACTCAGTATTGATTTACTTTGGTTTATTTGTTATTTATATTGGCATTATTATGCCATTTATATTTATTACTATATATATATATATAAGATTTATATAGTTATATATATATATATATATATATATATATATATATATATATATATATATATATATATATATTGGTCTACTCACTATTGATATCACACACTATATTGCCAGTCCTCACCCGGGCCGTTCTCCTGATATGTGTATATATATATATTTATTCATAATTCCATATATGCATATATATATATATATATATATATATATATACACTCTACGCTGGAAGCTTATAGCATCTCATGAAACGCCACAAGAACATTGAAAGTTTCAAATAAAGCCTGACCAAACGAAGCATAAGTGGTGTTGACCAAGTTGGGCGCAAGTAGCCACTGCATTTGACGCGCCGTTAAAACCCAATGACTAATTAATTAACTGTAGTAATTCCATATGTGTCGGCAATGTGGTTTTTAGGGGTTTCAAGTGCGCGATGCATTCAGAGGAAGTCTCCAGGCGAGTGCCGACACCACCGAACATGTGACGGCAGCCGCCGCGGCCAGCAAAGGCGATCAGAAAGCCATGCTTTTGCGCGGCGATCAGAAAGCCACGCTTTTGCGCGGCGATCAGAAAGCCATGCGGTTGTGGAGGCCTTCGTGAACAGCCCTCGTTTCAGGGACGGAAATTCGTCAGGTGTGCGTGTCGGGCAGGGACAAAATTTCGCAGCGTCATGCGCCGTAAGTGCCGCAAAGCGCTCCCCATGTGCTTATCTAGATGTGCGCATCTGGACGTTACGATTGCGCACCCTGTATCAGCAAGCATACTGCAGCAAACAACGATGTTTGCTGGCCACACACCAGTATATTTATTGAAGGAAAGCTTTTCACCGTCTGCGATTTGTCACTAGTGTCTTTTAGCGCCGCTTGTGTTGAGCCACACAATAGTTCACGGTGTTTGTCGAAGACGCTTTCGTATTTTGGTTGTTGGTCCGGTCCGAACAGTTTGCAGGCATTTCTGTCTGAGACTTCCACCTTGCCCAGATTGACAGAGAAGTAGCCTGCACCCGCCTTGAAGAATCTTTTACGTGACATCCAATGCTTCCACACGGTCACACGGTATACCCGAGGGAACTCTCTCGCCTCCTGTCGCCTGGCAGCTGCCGGAACAATCAATTGCCTGCGGGACTGGAATCCAGGTGTCTGCCACGTGCTGGGGTAGGATGTCGGAACCACTCAGCCACGGCTGCGGAAACTGGCAGTACGATAGGTATATGGGAAAAATATATCCCGGTGATACACAGGTAAAACGCGAACTTCAAACGGCTAAGAACCACAAGGCGAACACGCATTCATATATATATATATATATATATATATATATATATATATATATATATATGTTGATCATTTCAT